CCAAAATAGGGAAGGAAAACTGAGAAGGTTTTGGAAAGCATTATTCCTGGATTCACCACCTGCTGGTGCCCATAAAAGTATATAGTGAAGCTCGATTGGGTGGGCAGCACCATTAGGAGAACAGTGGGACTCTCCTCTCCTCCTCCTGAATGTCAATAAGAATTTCAAAGATGATGATTAAGTTGATGACAGGGATCACTCATGTCAGCCCAGGGTTAATGTAGTGCCCTTGCCTGTTGTGGAATATTACTTTATTCCATAAACAAATGTGTGTTACATGTTTCTGCTGCATTTGTTTAACTGTGTAAAGATGTGCTGCATTTGTTTCACCTTGCCTGCCTAAGGCACCTGATTGGTCAATAAAAAGCTGAATGGTCAGTAGCTATGGTCAGTAGCTAGGCAAGAGAAGGATAGGTGGGGTTGGTGGGTGAAGTGAATAAGTAGGAGGAGGAATCTAGGCTGGAAAAGAAGAGAGAATGAGGGAGGAAAAGAGGGAAATGTCCAGGGCCAGGCAACCAGGCAGCTACCAGCTAGCCAAACACAGAAGAAGCAGGAAAACAGGACTCACAGAATGAAAGAAAGGTAAAAAGCTCTGAAGCAAAACATAGATGAAGAGAAACAGGTTAAATTAATTTATATGAGCTAGTGGGACAAGCATACGATAAGGCTGAGCATTCATAACTAATAAGTCGTCTCTGTGTAGTGATTGAGGGGCTGACAGTCTGAAAAAGACTGTTACACTCCCCCATACATTGTCATATTCACCACATGTTCTCATTAAGATCAGTAACCATGTATGTCCTTTTCAGGGAGTATGATGGTTGGATTTTTGTTTTGTTTCATGTTTTTGTTGTTTTTGATTTTGAGATAGGGTTTCTTTGTGTGGCCTCAGCTTTCCTGGAACTAGCTTTGTAGACCAGGCTGACCTTGAACTCAGAGTCCACCCACCTTTGCTGCCCAAGTGCTGGTATTAAAAGTGTGCACCCTCATGCCAGCTTATAGTTAGTTTTAAAAGTCAACTTTTCACAACCCAGAATCAATTTAGAACGGTGTCTTAGTTGAACTGTCTAGGTCAGGTTGGCCTGTGGGAATGTCTGTAGGAGATTATGTTGACTCTTAATTGAGGTGGGAAGACCCACTCTGAATGTGAGTGGCACCACAGCTGGCACCATGCCTTGGCTCTGGATGGTGTAAGAATAGAGAAAGCTAGCAAGGCAGAACCAGGAAGCAAAGATCCAAGCATTCCTCTCTATGCTCTTGACCATGGATATGAAGATTTAAATTTCTACCCTGACTTCCCTGCAGTGATGGATTGGAACCTGGAACTGTAAGCCAAATAAGCCCTTTCTTCCCAGTGTTGCTTTTTGTTAGCATATTCTATCACAGCAACAGAATAAAGCTAGAACAGGTGAACCAGATTACAAAGCCATACTCTGAAGAGTGGTATGGCATGCTCACATGCCTTCTATTCTAAATCTGTAAGGCAAGCTGTGCTGCCTCTTTCGTCATCCCACATTCTAATAGTGTCTTCTTTCATGTTTTTTTGGCCCATCTAATTGAACCTGTGTCAGTTGTGTTGCTCCTTCCAAAAAAAAAAAAAACACTTTTTCATTTCATTGATTTCTGTTCAGCTCATTATCATGTCCTTCATTCTTGCTTTGGATTTAATTTCTTCTTCTGGTGCAGCTTCTTAGGTGGGAAGCTAAGTTCAGCAATGGGACAATGCTATTCTCTGTTATGGGCCTTTTCATCAATGAACTTCCCTCCAAACACTCCTTTAAGCTGCATCCTATAAGGTTTGGCGGGATGCTTTATGTCACATAACTTCCCTGGATTCTTTTCCTTCACTTTATTCCAGAACACACAACATACTCTGCAGCAGCATTTCTTAGGGCATTTTCATTTTGTATTTCGAAACTCATAAATTAGATATTTCTCCCTAGAACTGTTCCTTGATTTGCTTAATTTCTAACCAGTCTTTGCTTTCTTTTATTATTTTCTTTACTTTTGATGTTCAGATGCTCTATTTTTGCCCCTGTTGGAGTATTGTGGTTTTTTTGAGACACGATGAAGAAATAACAATGAAGAATAAGCAGGAATTAAGAGGTAGTCGGTTGATGAAAGGAAAAAAACTAGAGAAAGTTTGGGACTTATTAGAGGTTGATGGTATTCTATAGGAAATGTTAACCGAGCACTATGTAAGAGCTGTCATTTTTTAGCCCTTTCTGAGAAAGTGAAAAACAAGAAACTTCTCTAGAGTTTGTCTTGCATGTTTATAAAAACAAATCCTGACAAAACAGTGTGACTGACTCCTAGAGACTGACTTACTCAGGGAAACAGGATCAGAGGGATTTCAGTCAGCTCCATCTGTAGCACCTAAATATCTATCACGATGAAAATATGAGCTATTTGTTTCTCATCTGAGACTACCCATACAAATGAATAGAATAGGACTTCTTACATCTACAGTTCAAAAGAAAATGAGACTAAAAATTTAAAAAGAGTTATTGAAGTCAGGTTGTGCACACATGCACTACCAGCACTTGAGAGGCTGGAGGATAGGTATCCTTGTCTACACAAAGAGTTAGAGGCTAGCCTTGGCTACATGAGATCCAGTCTCAAACAAAACAAAACAAAATCTTAGATATTTAACTCTGAAAACTCTCAGGCTTAACTCATTTGGCTAAGAAAACCCATTGAATAGCTTCCTAAGATTCCCAACTCAACACAGAGATGATAAATTGTCAACCTGATATGTCTATCAAGGGCTTTCAAAGCTCACCAACACCCCAGGATCTGCAGACAAAAAGAAAGATTACCAGGAGCTGTGCTATGACTGAGCTCTGAAGGGACTTCCAAGTATATCCAGAGTGAATGTGTGTGGGTAGGCACCCATAGCTAGGCAGAGTGAATGTGTGTGGGTAGGCACCCATAGCTAGGTCTGCTCATTAGGCCAACAGGGAAAACAGTAGAGCTCTAGCACACTGATAGTGATTTAGTTTGCTGTTTTGAAATTTCCTGGAATTCTTTCACATGGGGTGATATGGGAACAGACTCTAGAGTTTTGGGGAAAGTGTGAGAAAAACGTCACAAGCCTGTAAGAAAAAGGAGCATCGGGAGTTGGTGGCCCACAGCTTTAATCCCAGCACTTGGGAGGTAGAGGCAGGTGGATCTCTGTGAGTTCAAGGCCAGCCTGGTCTACAGAGGGAGTTCCAGGACAGCCTCCAAAGCAATACAGAGAAACCCTGCCTCGAACAAACAAACAAACAAACAAATAATAAAAGAGAAAGAAAAAGGAGCAAATTCCTTTTTAGTTTGAGGCATATTAAGTAACACAGTCAGAGCAGGTTGGCAAGATGGCTCAGTGGGTAAAAGGATTTGCTCTGCAAGCATTAGGAACTGGGTTTTAATCCCAGCACCCACACAAAAACTGGGCATGGCCACATATGCTTGTAACGCCAGCATCAAAATAGAGAAAAAGGATCCCAACATTTTAATACCTGGCCAGGCTAGCTGAAATGAAAGTTTGGGCTCAGTGAGAGACCCTGCATGAAGGGAATAAGATAGCTAGCAATAGAGGAAGACACCTGAAATTTTTTTGCAGCTTCTGCCTTCATGTGCATGGGTACACATATCTGCATATATTCCACACACTTGCATATACTATACACACAATGCACCCACACAGGACAAAGTGGAGAATGGGAGATGTGGAGACATTCTAGTACAAAAGTACAGGTTTGAATACTGAATCATAGCAGAGAAGGATGCTAGAAGGAAGATAACTGGAGAGAGAGACCACTGGAAGAATGGTCTGTTTGCAGTTCAAGGAGCCAAAGAAGCCAGGGCACCATAGCTAAGCATCAAAGAATTACAGGAAAATGCAAATAAAACAAAGAAACATCTGAGATTTCCAAACCACTTAAATATGCCCATGCTTTTAAATCATACAGTTTTACCTTATCCAGCATCACTGTTATGGCTTCATCAGAAAAAGTCATTTTCTTTGAGCTCAGGAACTGTCAACATCAGTTTTAATGCTATCCGAGGCCTGATAATCTTCATGAATGGTGTTCTGTATACTACAGGACCTTTAGTGCCATCCCTGGTCAGGAATAACTAAATGCTACTTGTGTTCTCCTTCCCCAATAGTTGAAATACCCAAAAATGTCTACAGAGTTTCATGAGAATCTCCAGTCCAGGGACCAGGGTGGAGGGTGGGGGAAATGGAGCCATGGGAGGAAAGTGTCAGAACTCTTTGTAATTGAGAACCACTACATTATCTATACTATTTTAAAAAATAATTGTTTCAAAGTAATAATTATTGGGCATCATCATATTCACAATGTTTTGTTTGAGATGGGATCTCTCTGTGCAGTCCTGACTGTCCTGGACCTCACTCTGTAGACCAGACTGGCCTTGAACTCACAGAGATCCACCTGTCTCTGCCTCCCAAATGTTGGGATTAAAGGTGTATGTCACCATACCCTGCAAAACTAAGTGATACTGTTTAACAAAACAAGCATGATATAAATTTGTTATTTCTCTAATATGTGACTCATCTTAACTAGTTAAGACCATAATCTAGCACACACAAATATTATTTTTGCCCCATTTCAGGTATATTGCAATTTGATAAGTTAAAAGTGATTGATACTATTTCTATTTAATATGGTGGTTCAAGTAAAGTCAGCAAGCAGATGAAAATTTTTACATATTGAATATATACATACAAACTAATTTCTAGCAAAGTTAAACTTCAGATATTCTCTTTTATGCTGGTTATAGAATTCATATATAAGTAATAAAATATCATTTGTATTGGATGGAAGAATTGATCATAAAGACATGTTACACATATTCAAAAAGTAAAACCAGTTGAGTTTTATATCACTATTAATAAGGAGGTTACTAGTACCATGGAGACTGCTTGTTGTGTCCTATTTTGGTTTAACATAGTTCCCTTCACTATAAAAATGACAACCAGATCTTGCTTTTACCTGACTTATCTGTAGAATCTTCAAATTCCACGAGGAATGAGTACCCATTATTCCAGATGTGGAGGCAGGTGGCCGGGTCATAAGAGATAGTGAGTGGTTTTAAGCCAGGGTCATAAACACTGTCCCTCCATCGGATGTTGATGGGTGACTGCCGATCACCCGCAGGAACAAGGTCCAAGTTCTCCCAGAGTGGAGGTACTAGAAGAGAGCAAGTCTGGCCAGTTAGCAAAAACAACTACTGTCTAGCACCACACATAAGACCATCCCCATTTGGGAAGAAACCAAAGAGCTGCAAAGGCAGCTCAGAAATTAGCTATTTGGGGCTGTAATCAACTGTGTAAAGCAGATCAGGGTAGGCCAGAGAGCACCTTGCAGGGGAGTCTTCATTCTGTCATCTCATAAAACTAACCCATTTCAGCCTGTCTGCTAATGTGACCTGAAGCCAGTGCCATCAGTTCTGTGGAATCAGCAAAATACAGGGGGATTAGAGTGTGGAAACAGTTTTCACAAATGCTGCTTTTTGTTTCATTGTAATTTCTTTAACTCCAACCAACTAAACTGGTTTCAAAAACAAGGTTAAGTGAACTTTCAATAACAGACTTTATCTTGACAAAGGAAACAGAGTTAAAACTGTTAGAAAACAAGATTTAATTCAGTATTGTCAGTTTTCAGTTGGTTGGCTGGTATAGCCTCCTCCTAGAAAATGATTGTGTCACATAAGTGTGCATGCCAGGTTAACCTCTACAAACAACTGTGAGTACTAAGCAGCCACCCTATAAGGCCTGTATAGACACCAGCACTGCTGAGGTCCCTCAAGTCCACAGTTTGTCACAAGAATGTGGACATAATCTCTTAAGGTATACCATACAGTTTGTCCAAAAGAGGCACTGACTATATGGCTTGTGCTGGTACCTCCTCCAGAGAACCAGGTCCACGTCTTTGCAGCAATAAATATCAGCAGACTTCCTGATGACAATGCAGACAAGCGGGTAAGCCACCCCCAAATGAACAGAACCCACACCTATCAATTTGGGGTGGTCTAACCTGTCAAACTGGATGGATGCATGTAAAAGAATCTAAATAGATCCATATTTATCACCCTGCACAAAACTCAACTCTAAATGTATCAGAAACCTCAAATAGAACCAGACACAGTGAACTGGATAGAAGAGAAAGTGGGGAATGGCCTTGAATGCATTAGCACAGTTAAAGACTTTCTGAACAGAACACCATTAACACAGGCACTAAGATCAACAATTAATAAATGGGACCTTATGAAACTGAGACGCTTCTGCACAACAAAGGATACCATCATTCACACAAAGCAACAGCCTACAGAATGGAAAAAGATCTTTACCAACTACACATCAGAAAGAGGACCAATATCCCAAGTATATAAAAAAGTCAAGAAACTAGATATCAAGAAAACAAATGACAGAATTCACAATGGCCATCAGGGAAATGGAAATCAAAACGACCTTGAGATTTCACCAGTCAGAATGGCTCAGATCAATAACACAAGTGACAGCTCATGCTGGAGAGGATATGGAGTAAGGGAAACACTCATCCATTGCTGGTGGAAGTTCAAACTTGTGCAGCCACTATGGCAACATGGTGGTTCCACAGGAAGATAGTAATTGATCTACCTCAAGATCCAACTTTACCACTCCTGGCATATACCCAAAGATGCTTCTTCCTACCAAAGAGTCACTTGCCACTCTATTCATAATATCCAGGCACTGGAGACAACCTAAATTCCCCTCAACAGAAAAATGGATAAAGAAAAGGTGGTACATTTACACAATGGAATATGACTCAGTTGTCAAAAACAATGACATCAGGAAATTTGAAGGCAAATGGATGGAATTTGAAAACCATCCTGAGTGAAATAACCCAAACTCAGAAAGACAAAAATGTTATGTATTTGCTTATATGTCAATTATAACTAAGCTACAATCCATAGAACCAAAGAGTAAGGGACTGGGATGGCGGGGTGTGTGTGTGACAGATCTCCCTAGGAAAAGTGAACAATGAGTCTTTCCGCCAAGGCACCCAAGCCCTGCTGCCATGTGGGCGCTTCCTGCCAGGCCACCCAAGATCTGCCTGCTGCCACGTTATGGTCCCAAGTAACACAGAGATACTTATATTAGGTACAAATGCTGCTTGGCCAATGATTATTATTTCTCATCTACTAGCTCAGTCTTAATTATCATAAATCTATGTATTTTATAAGACTTATCTTATTGGACGCCAGCGGAAGCGCCCTGTCTTACCAGGCTCACATGGTGACTCTGGCTTTCTCCTACCTTTCCCAGAATCTTGCTTGACTCCTAGTCCCACCTATCTTGTTTTCTTATTGGCCAACAGTACTTTATTTATCAACCAATAAGACAATCATATACACAGAAGGACTTCCCCCATCAGAAAAGGAAATAGGACAGATAGTTATGGATGAATGGGGATGGCTAGAACAGGAGGATAAAGTGGAAGGGGGTAAAGGGGATGAGGGAGGGACTATGGGGAGAGATAGCTAAAAGGGCCATTTGAAGGGTAATGTATTGAAAACCTAATACAGTAAAAGGTTCCTAAAATATATATATACATATGAAAGTGATCTAAATGAAATTGTCATAAATGGGAGAGACAGAGCCCCAACTTGCTATCTCTTGTCAGCAAATGAAGCTTCCAGTACTGAGAATGGGTTACATATAATTGGCCAAGGGGTTTCATAGAAACCCCCAAACAACTCAGGCTGTTGCTAAGATGATAGGTGCTTTCCACAAACTGGTGACAAGGCCCTGTTGCTGAAGACTACACCTATACAACTCATTGAACATACATAAACTGAGCTGGTGCCTACATAAAGTCTTCAACCCTATGTTCTAGCATCTTTGATTCAGGAAAGTACTGTGCATTCTACCCAAACAGAAACCAGCCTAGCCACAAAACCTTTGATCTACAATAGTGTTCTGCCTGCAAGATATGCCAGTGCAATGGTGGCACAAAGCTTGTGGGAGTAACCAACTGATATCTGAGTTAAGGCCCACTCCACAAGATGAAAGTCATACATGATGCTCCTTGGGTGAACAAGAAATTAAGAATAGATAGCGGGGATCCAGTCTAAATACTACAGTTGTACTGAAAGAACACAGCATTAAAATGAGTCCTAATAACATTCTTCTCTATTCAGTGCCTTGTTCAGCCATCATCAGAGAAGCTTCCTCCTGCAGTAGATGAGAACAAATACAGAGACCCACAGCCAGACAACATGCAGAGAGTGAGAGAGCTTGGACTATTCATCCCTAAATGGGATGTGTTCATCAAATCCTTCCTCAGGGCTCAGGGAGGCCTGTGGAAAAGGGGATAGAAGGAACCAGAGAGGATAGAGTACACCAAGGAAACAAGGCCCAATGAATCAACATGGTCAAAGCTCATATGTACTCAGAGACTGAAGCAACATGCACAGGGTCTGCACAGATCTGCACCAGATGGGGTCCTAGAGATAAAAGAAAAGTGAACACATGTCACCATCCCTAATCCAGCAGTATCTCCAATTGATAATCACTTGCAAATGAAAATTTAGTTTTCTCCAAGGGAGTCTCACTGGGAAACAAACTACTCTTAAGGGTAGGCTGCATGTCCAGCAGTACATGGCCAACAGAAAATAAACAGCATCTTTAGAGGTTCCCTTAAAAAATCTTTTTTTTTTTTTTGAGACAGGGTTTCTATGTGTTACCCTGGCTGTCCTGGAACTTGCTCCATAGACTAGTCTGGCCTTAAATACCTGCCTCTGCCTCTGGAGTGCTGAGATTAAAGATTTCCACCACCACTGCTGGCCTTATTTTTTATTTATATATATTTTAATTTTTCTCCTTTTTTACCCTACAGGTTCTTTATGTATATACTATGGCTTACAGTGTAGTGTTTTTATGATATTCCTTTGTGTGTGAACAAGTGGGTCACTGCATCTGTATTTGTTTCTTGTGCCTTTTCTTGGGTTCTTCTTTCCGTTTGTTTGGTCCTATTCCAACATGTTAGTTTTTCTTTTATCTATATATTGCATTATTATTCCGTAGAAGCCTATTTGTTTTCTAGCCTACATGGCTCTACATAGTGAGTTCCAGGACAGCAAGAACTATGTAGAGAGACCCTAACTAAAACATAAAAGAAATAATAATAATAATAATAATAATAATAATAATAATAATAATCTGTTAGTTTTCTAATGAGACAGAAAGGGGGTGGATCTGGATCAAGGGGAGGTAGAGAGGAACTGGGAGGAGAAGAGGGAAGAGAAACAGTAATCAGGATATATTATATGTTTAAAACCTATTTTTGTGCATTTTTTTGTTTTTGTTTTTCAAGACAGGATTTCTCTGTGTACTCCTGGCTATCCTGGAGCTCACTCTGTAGAGCAGGCTGGCCTCAAACTCACAAAGATCTGCTTGTCTCTGCCTCCCTAGGGCTGGGATTAAAAATGTGTACCACCATCACCACCTGGCAAAAAAAATCTATTTTCTCCGCTTTGGGCTGCAGGCTGCATTAGGTGAACTAGCCTGGGTAGTGCTGGATAGCTTGTCTGGGTAGTGACAATAAGGGAAAGCTGGTGGGCTGACAACCCCAGCCAGACCCAGAAACAGAGAAGGTAAGGGGATGAAACTACAGATTTAAAACAGTAGGATCTCAGAAACATAGGGCAAAACCAGGATATCCAAGAGGAGCTCCAGTATGAGCCCATTATGGGTGGTATAGCAGAAATCAGGGCTCAAGCCAGACCAGTGACTTGTGGCACTTGCAAGTAAAGATGAATGGACTAAAGGGTAAACTGTGTGAGTCAACAGATCACACTACAACTTCCAAGACAGGATTCTTTTCTCTTTTTTTTTTTCCTTTTGTTTGGTTTGGTTTGGGGTTTTTCTTTTAAATTTGGGTTTTTTTGTGGGGTGGGGTTGAAAGGGCAGAGGGTAGATATGAGGGGATGGGGGGTAAGTGGGATTGGAATGCATGATGTAAAATCCACAAGGAATCAATAAAAGTTAAAAAATCTATTTTCAATAAAAGGAAAAAAGTTGAAGTACCAAGAATGAACAGAATCAAAGCCAACAAGAAAAGGAGAAACATGGGGCTGTAGAGATGGCTTACTGACTGGTTAAGAGTGCTTGCTGCTTTTCCAGAGTATCTGAATTTGGTCCCCAGTACCCACGCCAGGGGCCAACAACCACATGAAACTCCAGCTCCAGGGGATCTGACTCCCTATTCTGGCCTCTGCAGGTTGCTTCAAAGTTATAGACACATACATATAAATAAAAATTAAATAAAGCCTTTACAAAGCAGGAGCAACATAAATGGACAGAAGTTAGCAGCAATGCCCTGTATATCTTGCCCCACCACTGACTCTAAGGGTTTGATTAAAATAGCTGTGTTATTAGCCAGGAAAATCCTCATATATGTTGCTGTCATTTTCATCTTCATCTTTTGTGTTAATAAACACAAAAACAGAATCCTGTCTCTGGTTCAGTATTACAGAGATGACATTTCACTTTGTTTTGTTACCTGCCCAAAACTAAAAATCTCCAAGTCTTATCTTTAATTTTTTGTTTGCTTGATTTTATTTTATCAATAGTGTCCTGGCAGATATGGAGTCCTTCTGAGGGTGCAGACCAATTGTTCTCAACATTAGGAAGGATTCAGCCCTCTAAGAGACATGAGACAATTTCCAGATGAGGCAGGACAAAACTGGTGTAAGGTTCTACTGCCCTCTACTGGATAAAATCCAGAGATGCTGATAAACACCTTTCCCTGTACAGAATGGACAAAGAATTTTCTTGCCGGAAATGTCCCTAATGCCAGACTTGAGAAACTTTCACCTAGAGCCAAAAACTATACGTGAACTCACAGTCTGGTTCACAGCCCAGTCGGTTTCAAAGATTCCTGGCCCAAGGAAACCTTCTACCTGGTACCTCTGACATCTTCAGACTATGACCAATAACCTTAGAAGTTATACTGTTTAAAACCAACAAGTCCAGCCTGGTCTACAGAGTGAGTTCCAGGAGAGCTGGAGCTATTACACAGAGAGACCTGTCTCGAAAAACCCAAACCAAAGCTAAAACCAAAACAAAACAAAAAAACATACAAACAAAGCTAACAGGTGAGCATCTCCTTTGAAGATCATGGAAGAGCTGGAATGCTAGTTATCAGGTCCCTAAAATAATGCCCTAGATCATCTTTAATTGTTCAACATTTCATTCAGAAAATGGGAACTCTAAATTTTCACATCCATGCAAGCAAACACCAGCCCAAGAAAATCGGGCTGGGCCTCCACCTTCAACTTCTCTCTTTGATTATAGTGCTGGACTCAATTCATAACTTTTCTTTTGCAGGTTCAGCTTCCATCAGACATTATTTCATCCTATCCAGCTCCCCTTTTACTAATCTAGACCACTGAGAGTGGGAAGTCTTGGTCATTGTCCTCTTACCTTTTTGTCAAGAGCTTGTTTTTCAAAAGATACATTTTTATTCTCCTCTCTTCACTTCTTTCTCCTTTTATAAACAAAAAGCAGATGGAAATAATTTACTGGTACTTGCCATTTTTCCCTTGAAACAAGAAGATTATGTTGTGTTCTACGAAGTTTTATTTTCACATAAAATAAAATAGCAACGATTGTGTCAAACACAGCTGTAATTACGATGGTGTTAGCTCAGTGGGAGGGTTTTCATCTCCCAGGCATGATACTGTAGGTTCAATGCTCGGGACCGCAAATAATACTTATTATAATAATAAAAGCTAACATCAACCCTTAATTTTTTAAAGATTTTGTCTTAGGGTTTCTACTGCTATGAAGAGACACCATGACCATAGCAACTGTTATAAAGGAAATCATTTAATTGAGGCTATCTTACAGTTCAGAGGTTTAGTCCATTATTGTCATGGCAGGAAACATGGCAGTATATAAGCAGACATGGTGCTGGAGAAAGAGCTCAGAGTTCTACATCTTGATTTGCAGGCAGCAGGAGGAGACCACCACACTGGGCACAGCTTGAGTATATGAGACCTCAAAGCCCTCCCCCATCATGGCACACTTCCTCCAATGAGGCCACACCTCCTAATAGTGCCACTCCCTATGTGCCAAGCATTCAAACATATACATAAGGGGGCCATTCCTATTCAAACTACCACAGATTTATTTTTTAATTTTTTTATTTAAGATTTTATTTATTTATTATGTATACAACATTCTGCTTCTATATATATCTGCACACCAGAAGAGGGCAACAGATCTCATAATGGATGGTTGCTGGGAGTTTAACTCAGGACCTCTGGAAGAACAGCCAGTGCTCTTAACCTCTGAGCTATCTCTCTAGCACTTATTTTTTATTTTTATGCATACAGTTGTTTTGCCTTCATGGCTGTGTATTACATGCATCGCTTCAGCCCCTCAAACTTTTAGATTCCATGTTAACCATACATTTGGTCTCAACTCTTATTTGTTTCACTTTGGTGTAATGTGTGCTTTCAAACTGTCTTAATCTTTTCGGGCTTCTATAACAGAATATCATAGAATGGGTGGCTTATAAACAAAATAAATACAATTTTTCTCACAGTCCTAGAGTTTGGAAAGTCCAACAGAAGGCACCAGCAGATCTGGTATCTGCTGAAGGCTGCTTTCTGGTTTGTAGACAGCTGTCTTCCCAGTGTCATCTCACTCCAGGCTTCATAAAAGGGCACTTATCCCACTCACAAGTGCAGAGTCCTCTTCATCTTATTGCTCCCCCAAAGGCCACATCTCCTACCATCATTACTGGAATGTCAGGAATTCAACATACAAGTTTAAGGGAGACACATTCAGTTCACTGCAATCAGCTATTTCTCTAGCCTTAAGAGTATCCCTGTTTCAGCCTTTGCTACGTAAGAAGCACACTCAAGCCTTAGCCCCTTTGCGCCTTCTACAAAAACTAATTTCCCCTCACTTAGTTCAAGGAATAACTCCCATTACCTTTAGGTCTTGGGCTTAATTCTTCCCTCCTTAGCAAAGTTTCCCTGGTTCTCTTATAGTAGGATTCTCCCATATCTTAAAACAAAACAAAACAGGGTGTCACCTTGTAGCCTTGGCTATCATGGAACTCATGATGTATCACAGACCAGGCTGGCCTCAAACTCACAGTGACCCAGCTGTCTCTGCTTCCCCAGGGCTGCGATTAAAGGTATGATACACAATACCCAGCCATTTTTTAAAATCACAACATTAATTTCCCCTTCCAATCTTTATTCACAGGTATAGTTAGGATTATATGCTTAAATATATATGCCTCTTCCCATATTCTGCAAGCCAACCTGGCTTTCAACCAGTATTTGTGGCTCAAATGAATAAGACAAACAGCACTATGAAGGTTGTGAAGGTGGCACTCTCATGAATGGAATTATTGTGACTTGAGCCAGGATGACAACAACACATGTGCTACCATGGACACAGGAAAGTTCACAAGGCCTCAACCCCAGATAAAGATACAGGCAACTAAGGAATCTTAGGAGTGGGAGAAATTGTCTCCCTCGAGAAAGAGCACACTAAGTGATTATCCAATACCAAATGATCAGCCTTGAAAACATACATACAAGTAACATACTACAGACTGGATAGGTTGTGCTTACATATTTAGGAGTATACATATGGCCATGAATTTGAAAAATGGCAAGGAGGAATACATGGAAGAGTTTGGAGGGAAGAGGCCAGGAGGAAATGATGTAATTACATTATAATCTCGACTATTAAAAAACTTTAAGAGGGAAACGTTGCAGTTGTCAGCCAAAAAGAAAGCAGTCCTGGCACAAGATGCTGCAGCCCCCTGAAGCAAGGCTTGATAGCCGTTGGGAACATGCCTTCGAGAAACCCAGAGTATTAGAAAAATGAAGACATGAGGAAGAAAGTTATAAATTACTGATATCAAACCTACATGGGATATAGATTAAAGGAACAGGGATAACTGAAGTACAGGGAGCTTTGGGACAGGAAGATAGCATGTAAAGAGATGCAATTCTCTTCCTTCTTCCAACTCTCCTACCTTCCATCCCATTAAATTTAGACTCGCTCTAATTATTGCTCTGGTCGCTCCTCTTTGTGCCTGAGCTTTTTGGTATGATGCCCACTTAGTTCATGCAGCTAGTGTTAATTGGGACATGCTATAAATGAGTGACAGTAGGGTCTTTGAAGGCTAAGCACAAAATCAGCAAAAAGTTCACTTACAGTTCTTACACTGATTTTATGTTAGAAATATAATATCTTTGATATATTATGTTAACTAAAATATATTAGAAGAATTAACTTATTTGTTTATTTGAACTGTTAAATTATATTTACTGTTTATTTACTGAATGTATATGGGTGCATTCCCATATGTGGAATATGGGAATATGTGTATATTCTCCATATGTGTCTGTTTGCTTACATATATGGCTGTGTAACATGTGCATGTCTGGAGCCTGCAGAGACCTGAAGAAAATGTTAGATGCCGTGAGATTAGAGTTATACACAGTTGTGTGCCACCGTGTTGGTACTGGGAATTGAACCTAGACCCTCTAGAAGAGCATGCAGCCAATACTCTTAACCAATGAACCATCTGTCTAGATTTTATTTGTACTTTAAAAAAGGAAGCATTTGAAAACCTATATGGCTCATATTTGTGACTCATGTTGCACATCTATTGAACAGCACCATCCATGAATAATTCTTACAGTAATTATATGTTAAAGACATCAACATCCAGAATATACAAGATTAAATAAAATATATCACAAAAATTAATCAGTTTTCCTTTCCCTTTCCTAACCCATTAGGAAAGTGAGAATGACCATTGTGGCTTATCCCCCTGCTGGGCAGCACTGCTCTCCACCCTCACTGGCTTTCTAGCCGGTCTTTGTCTTGAGGGCTGTGCTTTTTCTACAGAGCCAAAGACCATCTTTATAGGCTTTGGCCTAATGCTGGGATATACAGGCTCTCCTTAAGGCATTTCTCACTGTCACAGAAGCACAGATTGCCTTGCTGGACTATCAGGGTTGTGGGGGAAACCCTGATGCTGGAGTGACTAAGCAGTGGAATCACATGTCATTATCAATCATCACAGGGAACGAAGCCTGCATTTCCTGTGCTTAGCTCCAGAGCTTCTTGTTAGTCCCAGGGAGCTGAAGATAACCCCAAGATCACCAAGAGATTCCAAGGAGCTTTCAATCTCAAATACAGTTTGAAGCACCCAGAACCTATATCACCCAGGAGTTATCAGTGAATTTTTGTTTGGTCTGTTTTTGAGACAGGGTCTCACTATGTAACTCAGACTGGCCTGGATCCATAATCCTCCTGCTTTAGATTTCTGAATGCTTGTGTTGAAATGACAAGTGCGAGCCATTATGCCAAACTTTTAAAATAACTTTAAATGGGCTGGAGAGATGGTTCCATAGATAAGTGCACTTGCTATTCTTGCAGAGGACATAAGTATGGTTCCTGGCACCAACATCTGGCAACTCAAAACCACCTGTCACTCCAGCTCCACCGGATCTGATTCCTTTTTGGCTTCAAAGGGCACCCACACATGTGGCACACATACGCATGTACACATAACTAAAAATAGTAAAAAGAAAATGTAAAAAGAAAAGTTTAAAATGTGTTCATTAATTTATTTTTGCCTATTTAATTATGTTTGTTTGTTGCTGCTGGGATTACAATAAATGGCCACCATCTACCATGCCTGGCTATACAATTTTTTTTAACACAACTGAAGTTTATTAAGAGACATTTTAAACATCAATTATTTTTTTCTTGAGTCAAGGTCTCACTCTGTGGCTCTGGCTATCATAGAACTTACTATGTACACCAAGCTGGCCTTGAACTCCTAGAGATACGATGTCTCTGCCTCCCAAGTGCTGGAATTAAAGGTATATACTACTACTCCGGGTTTAACACAGGTTTATAAGTACAGGGGGAAAAAACAAGGAAAGAATAAGACATACCCAAGTGTAGGTATGGACTTCTTAAAGGAGAGTCACCTAAATAGCCCCCCTCAGATTTACTTATTTATTTTTATTCATGTGTCCATGTCTACGTCCAACATGTATGGTGTGTGTGTGTGTGTGTGTGTGTGTGTGTGTGTGTGTGTGTGTGTGTGTGTGTGTGTGTGCCTGAGGAGACCAGAAGAGAGTGTCAGATCCTCTGGGGCTGGACTTATGGGTAGATGTGAGCTACCCAACATAGGTGCTAGTTCTCTGCAAGAGCAGCAAGAGCTCTTAACTGCTGAGCCGTCTTTCCAGCCCCCTAAGCAAGCTTCATAAATGCTATTGTTGTACAGGCTTTGTGTTCTTCAGAATTAAATGGGGGGAATAATAAAACAATGTTGTAAAAACTCCATACAGGAATATTCAGTAGAATTTCTTCTGAAGATGGAAACTTCCAGTGTGGTAACTATTAGGCACACATGGTTAAAAAATATTAATGGATTTAAATTGACATGTAAATACATGAGACTAGTGACTACATTTTTTTCCTTTTCATTTTTGTCTTTTATTTCTCTTTCTCTTTGTAGTTTCATATTATGTTTTTAGTGGCTGTATTTTATATAGTGCAGTTCAATAATTCCAATGTTTCTCCTCCTTATTAAAAAAAAAGCCAGATGTGGTGATGTACAGCTGCAATTCTAGCATTAAAGAAATGAAGACAGGAGAATCAGATTTAAGGGCAGCCTCAACTACAAAGCAATTTTGAGGCCAGCCTTGGCTACATGAAACCCTGTTTTAAAAAACAATGGTAGGAAGATCAAGAACATTAAGCATCAGTAATGTAATAACAAATCTGTACCATTTTTATTCTCCATCATCTTCTTTATACCTTTCATTAAATTAAAAATTACTAAATCATAAATTCATTTTCCTATGTTTTAAGATCTTATGCCTAATTTTTTAATGTAACAATTAGGCTAAATGGTACTCTGAGTGAAAATGATTTTATTTTCATCTCTGATAATGGGCATATAGTTTATTAAGTCCTCGAGAGTTACTGACTGCATCTTGGGAAAACAGCAAACAGTAATTTGAATTACAGCCCATGATTACTTAACAGAGAAAAAAGGTAGAAGGCAATGAACACAATGCTTCATGCTTCTGAATCTGCCACAATCTCCTACTTCCTTTATTCCTCCTGCTTTACACTCCCTTAAAATGGTCAGATTTGAAGCAGAGTGTAGAATATTGCCACTCCCAGTGACTAAGGCAGGAAGATCAAGATTTTAAGGTCACGAGTTGGAAGTCAGCCTGGGCTACATAAGGCCAGACAAACAACACATAAAATGGTCAGATTTGAACACCTGAGACAAATACTGAACCTATGATGATGACAAAGATGATGAAGATAAGAATGATCCTGATGGGGTCTAGAGAGGTGGCTCAGGGATTCAGAGCCCATGGTGCTCTTGCAGAGGACCTGGGTTTGGTTCCCAGCACCCACATGGTGGTTCACAACAATCTGGAACTCTGGTTCCAGCAGATCTGAGTACTTCTGACCTCCAAAGGCACTCCCAAACACGCATGCGGTGCACAGACATACATGCAGGCAAAATACACACAAAATAAAATGAATAAATCTTTTTTAAATGATCATGATATTAAAGGAGCTGCCATAAATGAATTTCTAACCTCTGACAACCTCGAGTCCTTCTTGTCTCTGAGTAGCTGGCCTTCTGTTGGGCTACTGAGCTGTCAAAAACAATGAGTATTGTCTTTACAACCAAGCAGAGGAAGGATGGGCTGGCAGAAGAGGAAACATGCTCACTGGCACAACAAAGGCCATAATATTCCCCTGCCTGAAACAAGGTTAGGACTGTTATATGCCAAGAGCCACATAAATGGAAACTGTGCCCTATTTTCCCCACCAGGTTAGAAACAAGAACATGTCTTAATATTTGAGAGATTAATCAGGGGAAGTTGACTTTCTGTCTAAAGCAAACGGTCCTAAAGACACAGCAGACAAGATTTTTAGATGTTTAACTTGCAATCTTCTGCTAAAACCCAAAAGAGGAAAACTTTAGTAGCTGGATCAATATGACTAATTGTTTCCATTTTAGGCCTTAGACCACAAAGTACCAGAATTCACGGCAAACCAGTCTGGATAGGATGTGGCCATGCTTGTAGGAAGCCACACCCAGCAACCAGAAATTTCTTATGACTCAGGCCAATTTCTTTTAATAAGACACCCAGTGCTAAAGACAAGCAAGGGAACTTACAGTTAAGATAGAGGCAGTTTCAGAATCCTGGCCTTAAGCTACATTAACACTGTCATTGGCAAGCATTTTATTTTTTACCCATCTTTGAATTATATACATAGGAGTTATCGAAAAACCTAGATCTCAGTGCAGGACAACATTCAAAAGTCTGTGTGAGGTTTTGTTTTTTTTCTCTGATAGTGGAAAATTTTCTTTAGTGCTATACTTAGCTACTTCATCTGCCCATAAACACAAATGTACACACAATCTTTTCTCCTCATCTCAACAGTTCTTATCCAGGGAGCAGTTTTGTTCCCTAGAACTCATTGGGAAATATCTACAGACACTTTTAGTTCTTATAACTGGGGAGGGGGCTGGGACTAGGATCGAGGGAGTAAATATGATCCCCCACAGCCCTGCATCCATGCCAGGGTGGAGAATTCCTGCAACACCATGACGTGGACAATAACTTGTGTCTCCAAGGGAGCCACAGGGCATTGAAAGAAGACCATCTGCTGCCTCATTTGATCTCATGGGTTTACAGCAGAGCACACACTTACAAAGCTGGTCGGCTAGATTAACTCTGGAATTTATGACTCCAGACAGAATATTTTGTTTGGATCATGAAGACAATGACCCTCTTGTAAAACTTAATATGCAAATTCTATAAATGTAAGATCCACTGCAACAGTTTGCAGTCTGTGCGTCAACCTTAGTCAAAAGAAACAATAAGATATCAGACTTCAAGGCATTTCAAGGTTTTCATAGCTGTGGTCCACTTTCAGTGTGACATCTTTGAGCATGCTAAAACAGGTCTAAAAGGACTTTCCAGATGTCTACTGTTTTTACAGTCATGTTCACAGGTTTTTTTGTTTTGTTTTGTTTTTGAGACAGGGTCTCTCTGTGTAGCCTTGGCTGTCCTGGCACTCACTCTGTAGACCAGGCTGGCCTTGAACTCACAGAGATACACCTGCCTCTGAGATTAAAGGCATGTACCACCACCCAGCATGTTCACAGTTATTAGTGTGTATAATCCCACACTGAAGTTTGTACAGGTGACTAGCAACCAATCTTTTCACTCTGCTAAAGGAATGGCGTACTCACAGACTCGGTTCCGAGTTCTGAATGTGCAGGTGTAGAGACTGCAGGACCTTACTGGCATAGACCTAGGAACCTGGGACCTTCTCCACAGCAATGTCCTTGGAGATGCTTGCAGAATCCCTCTCAGGTGATTCATCACTGTCATCTTTACCTTGGAGTTGCCAGCAGTGGCCAAACACCTCAGAGGGAGCCTAAAAACCTGGAGGAGAACAGAAGGAAAGCTATTATACCATAGGGAGTGAAAAGCCCAGGGACACCTCAGAAAAGGACAACACTGGGAGGGCTAGTTCACACCCTGACGTGGGGGTGGGGCAAATGAGAGTCAATAGTTTATTCACTCTTGTTTTTCAAACTGAGTGCCTTGGTGGCATGCAGGATTCAGAGGACTGACTCATGAGTTTAGCCATTCCCTCCGAGTTGGCAAACACTAGAAGCCCAGAGAAAAGATTCTTGTTCGTACACATAAAGACTGTTTGTAGTACCTATGGTTTCTTAAAATTAAAAGAAAATTCATTCCCTTGAATCCTAATTAGTTACCCAGTATGGTATTTTCATGTAGGAAGAATTCGATGATTAATGTTCCTTTCAGGAAGCCTGAATTTAAAAACAACAACAACATTTGTTTCTGGCTTGCTTTTAAAAAACAACAACAGCAGATACATCCTGCCAAAACAGTTCTGGGTAGTTTTGAAATCTAAGTTTAAGTATAAGCTGTGACTCTTGCCAGTTTTTAGTGTAACACTGGCTCTGGAACATAGAAAAAAATGGACAAGGGTAAGTCCTAAATCTTGTCTCTACCACACACACTCACAGTGAGAGTCTCAGAGCATTGCTTCCCAAGGTATTCATCAGAGTCGTGGTGACACCAACTCTGGACATTTCCCTTCCAGCAGCCCCTCACCCTTACTCCACTATTGCTTCATTAACGGCTGCAGACTCCTGTCCCTGTAACAAGTGAACAGACAGGTTCTGAAATTTAAAAAGGCACTAAAACAAACCACACACACACACACACACACACACACACACACACACACAAACCAAAAAAAAAAAAACTTGTTTAAAGCCCACATTCAGCAGGGCGGTGGTGGGGCACACACCTTTAATCCCAGCACTCTGGAAGCAGAGGCAGGCATATGTGAGTTTGAAGCCAGCATGATCTACAGAGCTAGTTACAGGACAGGCTCCAAAAGTTACACAGAGAAACCCTGTCTCAAAAACCTAAAATAAATAAATAAATAAATTAATTAATTAATTAATTAATGCCACATTCATTCCTAAAGCCATTCTTCTGCCTTCTGTGCCTGGTTTATTCCTGCTAACTGCTTATGTGACTGACTATAGAGCTACTTCCTTAAAGGCTTCCTTGACCACACACTTACCAGGTTAGCCTAACACCCTCTTCTTGGTGCTTGTCACAGCTGAATAAAGTAGATCAGAAATGCAGTTCACAACTCCATTCTACCCAGAACCTAAGCTCCATGGTGGGAGCAGTTGTGTCTGTCTTGGTCATGGCTACATCTGTTAGGTGCAAAGCCTTAAAAAAAAACATGGGTTTGGGGACTGGAGAGATGGCTCAGCAGTTAACAGCACTGGTTGCTCTTCTGGAGAAACAGGATTCAATTCCCAGAATTCATATGATGGCTCACAACCATCTGTAACTCCAGTTCTAGGGGATCCAAAGCCCTTTTTTTGGACTCCACAGATATTATAGGTACAGAGTGTACAGACATATATGCAGGCAAAATACCTGTACACATAAAGTTTGAAAAAAAATAGAACATGGCTTTGAGGACCTGAGCAGGTTTCTTTGTGGTGGTGAATTGTAGATACTGTTTTTTTAATAAACCCTAATTTTAAGAACTGAGAATTGTGGCACAGCAGCCAGCATGTATTGGAACAGTACCAGGGGTCTTTCCTAGGGTTCTGTTTTATTTTTTACGGTGTTAATTATCTCAAGGTCTCAAGTATGCGAGGCAAGTGCTTTCCCACAGAGTTATACCCTCAGGCCATATGGTTTGTTTATATTTTTGATAGACCTTTTCAGAGAAGCATCTTGTCTCTTTTTTCACCCAAGACAGTTTCTCTCCGTGGCTCTGTAGGCCAGGCTGGCCTCGAACTCACAAAGATCTACCTGCCTCTGCCTCCCGAGTGCTGGGATTAAAGGTGTGTGCCACCACCGGCCCGGCTCCTGACTCTTCTTATAGGACCTAAAAGATCCACAAAGTCTTGCCTGATCTAAATAAGAAGCTACCAGAGTATGAGTCTAGTCTAGGCACTCAGGGGGTGGGAATTCTCTCAACACTTTTTGTTGCTGTCTCAACATTTATTATAATTTCCTTTGTTCCAGATACTATGTTGGATACCATGATTTTAAGGAGGGATAAAAGTCATTGAAAAAAATCTTGATACATGCTATTTATGTTATGCTGCTAGAGGGAAAGAAGCCGGTTTCATCTCTGTTGTATATTTCAGCTTACACTTCCAGGGCATCATTGAGGGGAATCAGGGTAGGAACTCCAGGATGATCTTGGAGCAGGTACCATGGAAGAATGCTGCCTGATGGCTTGCTTGCCTCACGGCTTGCTTTGGCTCAAGCTCAGCTAGCTTCCTTATATAGCTCAGGACTACCTGGGCTACATGAGACCCTATCTCAAAAAGGAGTGCAGGGGAGCTCTAGATAGCTCAGTGGGAAAAGGTGCTTGCCATACAAGCCTGGAGACCTGAGTTTGATCCCTGGAACCCATGGTGGAAAGTTAGAAGTGACTTCCAGAAAGTTGTAGAAGTTGTCAGGGAATGGTTCTGCCTGCAGTGGGCAGGGTCCTCTGGCATCAATTAAAAATCAAGACAATCCCTCTCAGATACAGACACAACTTGATAAAGATAACTGAGACTCACTTTTCAGGTGACCCTAGTCTGTGTCATACTGACAGGAAATGCTAACTAGAACAAATCTACATACAAACCTACATATTAGTTTCTCCCACCACTACTGATTAAACAAGAACAAGAAAATATGCCATTATTATGTTTGTGTTTACAGAAATTGTGATGAACAAATACATTTGTTAAAAGGAAATGGCTTTGTCACTTCTGCTTCAAATGCAGTCTATTCCAGATTTGTTAACTGGTGTGACATGCTAAACATTTGTTGGGTCCTGAGTATTTTGAAGATTAAAACATACTGATCAGTCAGTGTAGTGCTTTGTGCCTATGACCCCAACACTTTGGAAATAGAGGCAGGAGGATCAGAAATTCAAAACCATCTGTGAGTTTGAAGCCAGCCTGGGCTACATTAGACCCTATCTCAAAAAGGAGTTCAGGGGAGCTCTAGATAGCTCAGTGGGAAAAGGTGCTTGCCATACAAGCCTGGGGACTGTGAGTTTGATCCCTGGAACCCATGGTGGAAAGATAGAACTGACTTCCAGAAAGTTGTAGAAGCTGTCTTGTCGTCTCACTGACACAGGTGCACATGTACACCCATGCATAAAAATAAGAAGAATGTAAAATAATCTTGCTCAAAATGACTACCAAAACCCACCCTAACATCATCTACATCTCACAGCTGAACCAGAGTAGGGGAGTTTCTCGTCTACTGTAAAGTAAAACCACATTGTCTTATATAAAGACAAATGAAGCACATGCAGTACTGACAATAGGAAACTATGGAAACAGACGGCAGACTGATGGTTGCTAGGGTGTGAGTGAAAAGGAAAACAGCAACTGGCCACTTACTAGGTAGGAGTTTGTTTTTGAGGTGATGGAATATTTTGGAACTAAACAGAGGTGGCAATTATACAAAGCTGTGAAGATTCTAAATGCTACTGCAATTTTCTCTTAGAGAAGTTACTTTCATTTTGTGTGACTTTTTAGCTTAACGTTTGTATTCTATCAAACAAAGAACCAAGGAAAGATGCAGCAAACCATTTCACAGGAAGGTCTTTACCATGCTATACTTTCTGCCTCGGATAGAAACAGCTCTCAACAGTTTGGTCTTGACAAAATAAAGAAAAGGGACAACATAAAGAAAAGTTGGGAGATACTCCAGATGTATTTCACTACAGTCTTAAACACTTCTTCCAAAGAAGAATATTAGATGAAAAACACAAAGTAAAAATACACATGCAGAAAACTGGTATCATGAGCCCCACCCACCCAGTGCCAAAGCAAGGAGGCAAAGGATGTGATCTCAGCCTCCTCTCCCTCTTCAAGCACAGTCCTGCTATCCGATGGTTAGGCACTAGCTGCTTTCCTCTGTACTGCTGTCCGTGATCTTGCTCCTTTTGGGCTACAGGGAAGAAGGAAGGCAAGTAAAAGGAGAGAGAAGTCACACCAGCAGTGACTGTGTCTAGAAATAACAGGAGCAGTTACTTTCTATAGTTAGTCTCCAAGGAACAGTCAAGGGTTCCAGGCGGTTACACTGGTCTCTCACCTAGTCCCCAGCATGCAGTGTGCATTACTTTGTCAAATGCATACCCTAGAGCAACAAAGGAGGAAAGACTGGTAAGATGTTTCTGACGGTTGAGAGTACTCACTTCTATGACTCTCCCTAAACTTTTTAGGGAAGTGATTTCTAAACTCTGTGTAAATTTGCTCAAAATGTGTTTGAAATTCTCAAACCACAGTTAAAATAAATTGTTTATAATTTTATATGTTTTTGAGTATATACATTTTGGATAAAGCATGTATGCTAAGCCAGACTCAATATTTAAACATAACCTTGTAAGGAACATGTGAGAAGATTACTTTGCTAGGGAGGTGAGGAGATAGCTTGACCTGTAAACTGCTTGGTATGCAAGCATGAAGATATGAGTTAGGATCTCCAGTACCCACGTAAAAAGCAGAGTATGCCTATAATCTCAGCACTGGGGAAACAGACAGCAGGATCCCTACAGCTTGCTGGCCAGTCTAGACAATTGGCGAGCTCCAGTTTGAATAAGTGACCCTGTCTTTAAAAAAAAAAAAAAAAAGCAGGCAGTAACGGAGAAAGATACAAACACATTATCTTGATAGTGTCTTCAAACAAATAATACTGTGTTTTCAAAGATCTTCTTTAACTGAGCAGCATTACAGAATAAGAGCTCGATGACCACCTCAATTCATCATTTCATTCAGCTTTCTTTTCTTAATCTTTTATTATGGAAAACTTCAAATTTATTCAGTGGGCCCTTTGTACTTGCATCCATGGATTCAAACAAA